GTACTGACAAAATAATCGGTGACTAAAATATGACGTTATAATGATAAATTCAATAGCAGGGTTTTAGTCACACCTTTTTCTCAACAAAAAAAATTGTATCAATACAATACTACTACCAGGTCGTCACCATGACATTTTTTAGATTGTGGGATTTGATGTAATTTTGATATCAAATTGATGAAATATTGACTCGCTTAGGTCTCGAACTTGGGAATTGTTGTCGGTATCATTTGAACAAACAAGCACACTTGTCAAAATTAGTAGAGTGGATGCTAACGCTACATATAGAGCTTTACATGTCAAAAATATTTAATTTCTGTAGTTTTCACGTTTCAGGGGAGAATACTGAAAATTTTGAAAATCTCCATTACCAAGTTTAATGAACTAAAACTAATTTGAAATGAGAATGAGGGTCTAAATAAAAATTGTAGTTCATAATTGTTGTAGTACTTGCTTCCAGGATTCATTTGTGCCACGAGACGACCAATGTCTTCAAAAATGTTTGTGCACAGAAATTTTGATAAATAACTTATAGAGTTTCCAAAATTTCTAGGTGTCAACAGTTTTGGTCATTCCATTGCTCAAAAAAAACCTAGAAGTGAGAACTTTTATTTCAGATTTTACATCTTTTGTCAAATACGTTTAGTTATTTTCAGCATTTTCAGTATGGTCCTCCTTAAACTTAAAAGCTTGTTTTCGAACATCTACAAATTTCCATCTGTCTCCGATCCGATGGTACACCGAACCCCGAACACTGCGCGGGAACGGCGGCCCAAACATGCCGGTGCGTAAGACCCGATGGGGGTGGGGGTCGTCGCCGCGCAGCAGTTGTTGCCTTCCCTGCGTGGACGCTTCCAGCCATAGAGCGAGAAAATTTTGAAATGAGATAATGGAGGCCCAGGGAACCTCGAACCTCGAGAAAGGCATCATCCTTTTAGGAGGAGTTGCGTGCGACTCGGTAAAATACAGAATAGCGCCTTTCTGTTTCAGGGAGGGAGCGAAGATGATCGCCGCGCCCGCCGATCGCAACAAGGAGCCCATCCTGGGGGCGCTGAAGCAGCACCTCGAGGCCGTCTGCCAGCCGGGACTGGTCCTGGAGGTGTCGTCCGGGACGGGGCAGCACGTGGCCTG